TGCACGTGGGTACCGCCCCTCCCTGCTTGTCGGGTTCGGGCATCATCCCTTTGTACTTCTGCAGTTACTGTCTTGTTTTGACTCAGTTGCCTTGAAGTGTCCATTAAATCCTCTTCCTGCTCCTCCCCCTCCTCCTCCTCCTCCTCTCCTCCTCCTCCTCCTCCTCCGTCCTCCTCCTCCTTTACTTCCCACTCCTCCTACTCCTCCTCCTCCTCCTCCTCTCCTCATCCTCCTCCTCCTCCTCCCCTCCTCTTCCTCCTCCTCCTCTCCTCCTCCCCCTCCTCCTCTCCAATCTCTCCTGTTCCTCCTCCTCCCTCCTCCTCCTCGATCCTCCTCCTCCCCCGCATTTCCCCCCTCTATCCGCCGTCCTCCCCCCCCCACCTCCGCTCCTTCCCCCCCCCCGCCCCCTCCCTCTCTCCTCGATCCTCCTCGATCATCATCGACATTCCTCGATCCTCATTGATCCCTCCTCTTCCCTTTTAGATCCTCGATCCTCCTCGATCCCTCATCTTCCCTTCTCTTCCCTCCTCGATCCTCCTCGATCCTCCTCGATCCCTCCCCTTGCCTCCTCGATCCTCCTCGATCCTCTTCGATCCCGCTCCCCGCCGCAGCGCGCGACCACAGACGCTGGCGGCAATCGCCACAGCCGTGGGCCCAGGATGCCAGGGCGGAGCTCCGGCGCCGTCAGGGGGGGAGGGAGGAGGAGGGGGGAGGAGGAGGGGGAGGAGGAGGATGAGGAGGACGAGGGGGAGGAGGAGGAGGAGGAGGAGGAGGAGGAGGAGGAGGGGGAGGAGAAGGAGGAGGAAGAAGGTGGGAGGAGGGAGGAGGAGGAGGAGGAGGAGGAGGAAGAGGAAAGGGAGGAGGAAATGGAGATGGAGGAGGAGGAGGAGGAGGAGAAGGAGGAGGAGGAGGAGGAGGAGGAGGGAGGAGGAGGCCGGGGAGGGAGGAGGAGGAGGGAGGAGGGAGGAGGGAGGAGGGAGGAGGGAGGAGGTGGTGGGCACAGGCTTGGACGCAAGATCGCATATGCCGAGGGTCCTTCCGCCCTGCTTCCTGCACGGCGGACGCCGGCCTCCTCCCTCCCTGAAGGGGCCCACAGAAATCTCACGCCCAGGGGGGCACCCTCAACTTGTGAAGGGGCCCACGGGGGAGGGCCCTCCGAGGCTGTGCAGCCTCCTCGCAGAGGGCTCGAAACGAATCACATGTGCGGTCTGGCCTCATTCGGGCCCAGACGCCGCCCTCCGAGGCTGTGCAACCTCCTCGCAGAGGGCTCGAAACGTGAACAATGCCGACAGTAGACACCTGCACGGCATATGACTAAAGATAATATCATGGGCGGTTTGGCCTCCTTCGGGCCCAAACGCCGTGCGCCAGTCTGCTGTAGACGCGGCACAAAAGGAACTCGTGCGAGGTGGGCGGCCGGCGCGCGCGCCTCTCCCTAATCACCGAGTCGACACAGCTGAGGGGCGACACTACGGCGTCCAGTAGTGCGTCCATATGTGCGACATGGTGCTCCTCCACCCAGCTCTGGCTCACTCGACCGGCCACGACGTGAACGTTCAGCTGCACGTCCTGCACGGCCTTCACCTGCACCACGTCATGTTCTATGGTCTCCAACGGCTTTACCGAGCTGTCCACGGCGCCCTTCAGGTAGTTTAGCTCCTCCTTCAGCAGGACGCCCGGGACGCTCGGCTCCAGGGACTCGGTCGCGCCCTCGGTGGAAGAGTGGGCCCGGTGCGCGGTGCCGAACGTGCCGTTCGCGAACAAGTCCGTCATGCTGGCCAGTCGTTCTGCCAGCTCGAGGTCGATCTTGGTCTCCCCCTTCACCTTGACGTTGGCCTTGCAGTCCGGGGCGCACTTGGTGTCCTTCTTCGGCAGTTCTTCCAGCTTATTCGCCGCTGGTTTCAGCGAGAGCTTGTCCTCGGGCCCGTCCTCGGGATGGCCCAGTTGGGAGCTCTCCAGCACCTTGGCGCCCTTGGTCGTCGGGATCGAGGCCGTGATGCGCTTCTCGTCCATGATCTCCAGGCCCGCATTCAGGGGCACGTTGAGGTCGCATCGGATCAGCTCCGTCTTTCCCTTCAGGCCGACATCGCCGAGGTCCTCCTCGGGATGGCCCAGTTGGGAGCTCTCCAGCACCTTGGCGCCCTTGGTCGTCAGGATCGAGGCCGTGATGTGCTTCTCGTCCGTGATCTCTAGCTCCTCCTTCAGCGGGATGCCCGTGACGCTCGTCTCCAGGAGCTCGGTCACGTCCTTGGTGGAAGAGTGGGCCTGGTGTGTGGTGCCGAACGTGTTGTTCACGGACAGGCCCGTCAGGCTGGCCAGGCCCCTCTGTTCGAGCTGGCCGAGCAAGTGGTCGATCCTGGCAAGCTCGGAGCCACAGCGTTCGATCCACCCCCCGCGAAGCCGCTGTCGGACTCGCTCGGGTCGCAGGAGCCGTCACCGGAGCCGCCGTCGTCCTCGCCCTGATTGGTGCTGGCGCTGGAGGCGATGCTCTCGTCGAGGCTGGCGCTGGAGGCGATGCGGGTCGGCGCTGGAGGCGATGCTCTCGTCGTCCTCCTCGTCGGGCCAGGGACCCCCATCCGGCCAGGGGGCCTTCATCCAGGCGTCATTCCCTGCTCCCTTCAGGTATAGTCCAGCTCCTCCTTCAGCAAGAAGTCCAGGACGCTCGGCTCCAGGAACTCGGTGACGTCCTCGGTGGAAGCGTGGCCCAGGTGCGCGGTGCCGAACGTGTCGTTCACGAACAGGTCCTTCAGGCTGGCAAGCTCGGAGCCAATCGTGGTCTCCCCCTTCACCTCGCCGTTGGCCTTGCATTCTGGGGCGCACTTGGTGTCCTTCTTCGTCAGCTCTCCCAGCTTCTTCGCCGCTAGTTTCAGCGAGAGTTTATGATCGGGCCCGTCCTCGGTACGGCCCAGGTGGGAGCACGCCAGCACCTTGGCGCCCTTGCTCGTCGGGATCGAGGCCGTGATGCGCTTCTCGTCCATGATCTCCAGGCCCGCATTCAGGGGCACGTTGAGGTCGCATCGGATCAGCTCCGTCTTTCCCTTCAGGCCGACATCGCCGAGGTCCTCCACGGACTTCTTCACGACGATCTTATCATCAAGCGCAGCCGCACCCGGGAGCACCTTGCCCACCTCAAGTTCCACGGGCCTGCGCGTCGAGGGCCTCCTGCTCGTCGGCCTGCACGTATGTAGCCCTGCACGTCGGCCTGTCGAGGACCTCATGCACGTCCGCCTGCGCGTCGAGGGCCTCCTGCACGTCGGCCTGTGCGTCGAGGACATCCTGCTCTGCGGAAGGCGCCTGCACGTAGCCCTGCTCCACGGCCCGCCAGGCCTCGGCGGCCTCCGGGCGCCCTTGGAGTCCATCCTAAACGTGTCCTTAAAGAACACCATCGGCTGCACCGGGCTGTCCACGGCGCCCTTCAGGTACCCGTCCAGCTCTTCCTTCAGCAGGAAGCCCGGGACGCTCGGCTCCAGGAGCTCGGTCACGTCCTCGGTGGATGAGTGGGCCTGGTGCGCGGTGCCGAACGCGTCCTTCCCGAACAGGTCCGTGAGGCTGGCCAGCTCGGGGCCAATCTTGGTCTCCCCCTTCGCATCGTCGTCGGCCTTGCATTCCAGGGTGCACTTGATGTCCTTCTTCATCAGCTCTCCCAGCTTCTTCTTCTCGTGCCCGTCCTTGGGACTGCTCAGTTGGGGGCACGCCAGCACCTTGGCGCCCTTGATCTTCGGGATCGAGGCCGTGATGCGCTTCTCGTCCGTGATCTCCAGGCCCGCATTGAATTCAGGGGCACGTTCTGCGCGACCCTGCGCGCCAGGAGGGCGACGTCTGCGCCTCGGACCGGCCGGCGGCGCCGGGCGGCCCAGCCCCGGCGGCAGAGCGCCGCCGCCAGGGGCCTCCTGGGCCTGCCGAGCAGCCGGCCCAGGAGCCATCTCGTGTCGCGGCCGGACCCGCTCGCCTCAGGTGCGCGGGCCGGCGCGCATGGCAGCTGCCCAGAGCGAGGCTCGCGGATACCTGGTGTCCGCGCCCAGATTTTCGAGCCGGGGCGGCGGCTGAGGGAGGAGGGAGCAGGAGGACGAGGCGGAGGGAGGAGGGAGGAGGGAGGAGGACGAGGAGGGAGGAGGGAGGAGGGAGGAGGAGGGAGGAGGGAGGAGGGAGGAGGGAGGAGGGAGAGGAGGGAGGAGGAGGAGGGAGGAGGGAGGAGGGAGGAGGAGGACGAAGGCGGACGAGACAGACGGGGGTGGAGGAGGCGGCGGCGGAGGCGCGGAAGGCGGTGGCTGCCGGTGCCTACAGCGTGTGGCCCCCTGCGGCGGCGGTCGGCCGCAGCCGCCAGAGCGCGCGGAGGCGGCGGCTCCCAGCCGTCTGCCGCTGGCGGAGGTCGACTGGGATCGTCCAGGCGAGGAGCGCCTGCGGCAGGAGCGACGGAGGTGTGCCCAGACGGAGGGGAAAAACACACAGACATAATTAATCGTCGATTCCCCAGAAAATATGGAAAAATAAGGGCAGTGGGGGGGGAAGACAGACACCCAGAAAATATGGGGAACTCCGGGGAATCTGTTTTATTTGTGTGCATGTATTTGTGTGTCCCAGGGCCCCTTCAACCCAGACGGAGGTCTTGCACCGTGTAAAAACAGCTGTTGGAACTGTTGTAGGGGAGCGAAGATTGGCATAGTTAAACATGAACACTCGGAGGTCTGCGCGGATTTCTCGGATCGGCGCTGGACCCCCCTGGCGGCGCCTCTGGCGCCGCCCCTGGCGCGCGCTCCGTGCGCCAGGGAGGGGGGTCCAGCGCCGCTCCGAGAAATCCGCGCGGACCTCCGAGTTTTCATGTGTATGCCATTCTTCGCTCCCCTATATGGGCTCATTCCGAGGACGGATGCCTCTGCCGGGAACGTGGCGCGCACGCCCACGGGGCACGAGCGCAGACGCCCTCGCACCACCCGGCCAGGGTGCCCCCCGAGCGCGGCAGAGGCAGCTCGGACGGAGGGGTACCTATAGACAGGCTCGCGCCCCGAACGAAAATGCAGGACGGAGGTCTTGCCTTCGCTCTCGGCCGCCGGGGGGGGGGGGCTCGCCAGCTGGCCCTGGGACCGTCCAGAGACGGCTCGGGACGAGAAAAAGACTGGCCCCGGGGAAGGGGTCGGGACTGCCCGGGCCAAGGGCAGTCCCAGGACGTGCACATTCGAGAGAACCGCTGGCCTTCTCGGCGGCCGACGCACGGGCACGGGCGGTGCACAGGCGACGAATGCGCGACGCTCCCCTTGTCGCGATGGGGGGGGTCAGCACGCCGGTCGTCTTACTGGGCCTTAACAGCCCAGGGAGCGCGTACTGAAGAACATCAGGGCGTCGCACATCTGGGTAGGCCTAACATATTGGGTCGGAGTGCGGTCGAAACCGACGGTGAGGATGGATGACCTTCCCAAGGCTACCCTTGCATCCTTGTCTCTTCAGTCCATCCTGTCCATCCTTAACCCCTTTCGATGGCCAGGCCCGCTCGACAAGCTTCAACACTGGCGTCCAAGGCCTGGCATCCTTGCCGCGCATCCTTGCTATCAGTTTTACTTGTAGATGGTGCCAGCGATGCATTTGCGATGCGGCTGCGGCTCGATGTGGAGCCCGATCTTCTCCGCGCGGACGTCGCCGCCTCATCGCCGTCGTCGACGATGCACCGCCGATGCGTCGGCTATGCGGC